TATAACACATAACACTCCTATGTGTTATTTTTCACGAGTCTTGGTATTAAAATTTAAGAATACTATTAGAATATCATTACATATCGCGCGATATTTTTCACAGTAGATTGTGTGCTGACAACCTAACCTAACCKGCAGGGGTGAGAATTGAGCTATCAGTTCCGGACGAGGGCAACATTTCGCCCATRAATGACATTGTTTTCTCGCAYATTCCACATATTATATACTATTTTTTGTCATGGTTCTGCTCATTCATYGGTCTTTGCAACAACCAGACCCTTCTAAAAAAACATTTTCATGAAAGAAAAATGTCTATGTGGCATGAAAGGAGGTTATAATATAAAATGTAATCAATAGTTATAATTTGATTTTGATGCAAAAGTATCTTTTTTTCTGGTRTATTGAAACGTTGGTCTTTAACTATAAAATGTGTTTTGGGTGATACTGTAGATTATTTTAAAGTATTTTTTGATAAAATTAACTTTAAAAGCATTCTGATTATACATTAGACACACCCAGTTTTTTTGGGGGGATTTGCACTTAATTACCCTGCACTTTAAGCAAGCTATTCAATCTCTTTTCGTTTTTAAATTGTAAATGTATTCTAATTCTGAAACATATTGTATGTAAAATAAATGAGGTGRTTTAAGTTTTTAATTTCATTGGTTTATTGACGCATTTGTTCTATAGAGTCTGTTTGGGAACCACCGGCCGAGGGTTTCTTGAGTGTGGCTGAACAAGAAGCGGAAGAATGCGGCAAGGGAACGAATGGAAAAGGAAAGGATAGCAAGAACAAGGAGAAGGGGGCGTTTAAAAAGAAAGCACCGGCCACCGGGTCGAAAGCCAAACGGAAAAAGACTGCAGACAAGAAAGCCGGCGACGACTGCGATGACGACGATGATGATGGCGACGAAGACGCTGCGGCAGATCCTCAGCCTCCGGTGCGCGGTGAATTCGAACCGTTCATGGCGGAAACGACTCGCATAGGATCATGGAGAACGGTAGAAAAGATGTAAGTCTGGATAAAACTATATAATAATTTGTCTTCATCGGTGATAATCGAGTTGTGATTTGTTTTATTTTTCGTGATCAATTTATCGCGATTCGATTATTTACTCGTATATATTATATTATATTTAATCGAATTTCGAACGCGCTCCGCTACGGCTCATTTTTTTTAACGATATAAATGCCATTGTTATTGTATATATATATATGGCCTTCGCCCGTTTTATATATATGGACTAGCACGTACACAGCTGGGAAACAAAGCAATTTTTCATTGTTTGGGGTAAGCCATTTTGGCAGACGAAAAACGCTATTAGTTTTAATCATTTAACAGATATTATATATATATTTATAGTTKCGTTCCAAATAATCGACCGACAAAGCCCAATGACCAAACCGAAACATGTCCTCTAATGTGTCTTAGGTTTCAAAATAAATGTTATTATTATAATAATTTATAACATATCAACACACGATACATTTACGTCATATTTTATTACATAATATTATTTACAATTGTTAAAGAAAACAAAACTCCAATAAATCCTATMAACGGCGGTTTTAAACTAAAATCGATGATTGATTTTTTTAAGCTAAAGTTGAGCATGATTATATTAGAGCTAGGGTTTCAAAGTCCTGAACATTCGCAAAACACCCTTAAAAAAAGCAAAACATAAAGAAACTAAAATAGTAAAAAAATTATTCAAGTTTATTTATAATTTAAGTTGGTAGCTGTCTAATTTTTTTTAAATAATACTTCAATGTAATAGGTTAACACTAGGGAGTAAAAATGTGACCAATAATTTCGGGTTTCGGATTCCGTGTCTGAAAATGGTTACGATTTTTTTCGAGTTTCAAACTTTTAATATGAAATATATTGATGATATTAAATTTTTATTAACTATACTGTATAGGTATGTTTTCATTAAACTGAATCATAAACTAGTAAATGATTCCATTAAAAAAAAAAATTTTATATAAATTAAAATTTGAACTTTTAATTATTCGAATAACACATATTTTTGAAAAACAATCAAATATTTTATCACCTATGTCTTTTTTTAATAACAATCTATTTTGAAGTTGTATAAAGCGTGGAATATAATTATATATTATGTAAAATAATGTTGCACTAATATGCTCATCTAAAGTTAGCAGAACTATTATAACATAAACATAAGACAATAATATTTTTATACTGAACACTATTAAATCTGTGTACATTGATATATTTTTATTTTAATGTTGATTTCTCAGTAGAAGGGTCGTTAAAGAAAAAAACAGAAACCTCAAACAATTATACAGTAAAAAACTTAGATTTTATTATACTGTACTTACTACTGAACTCAAAATTGGATTAAACGTATTTTTTTGAAAAACAGTAATACCTTTACTAAGAAAATGTGTTACTATTGCTTAAAAATATAGCTCTGTATAGTAGGTATATACTTATTATATTTATTTATAGGATAATTATAATAATATAAGTACAAATATAATAATATAATATACATCCATTAAAAGTGATATAAATTCGTACTGAACAGTAATTTACTAGTTGTAGCCTGTAGGTAATAGAAAAAATACTTATTGTCTTATACATAACAGAGCATTTATTCTATAATACTAAATGTTTCTTTTTTAATTGATTTATTATTTTAAATAATAAACAAAAAAATGTATTATTGTAGTTTATTTCAGTTATTATTAAAGCAGGCACTATAGATATTATCTCATCTGTATAAAATGAGCTTATTTTCGTATCGTATAACTTTTTATCCCAATAAAGAATCAATTAATTTTTTTAATTTTTTTCCTTGACGTATACATATGAATAAATGTAATACAATTAATATTTTGATTGATTAAGAAATATTTTGTTGGCTTCTCAGACATAAATTTAAATTTCATGAATGCAAACTAATATCTAGTACCTAATAAGGTTTCGATTGAAAATACAATCAAGTATAAAGATCATCACCAAATATTTCGTATGATGACTTAAGCAGGCACTTAAGTTTTTTACTAAGAAACAAAATGCCATTATTATTTATTGTTGATTTAGTTAATAAACAATCGAACGTTTCTAAACTTCTTTCGCATAAAATTACATTAAAAGACAATAATTGTATACTGCAGTTGTAACAGAAGTGCCTATAGATCTAGAATCTCTCAACGGTGTTTGTATTTTATACGATTGTAAATGCGATTTTGAATCAATAATATTTATTGATTGAAGATATAATTATATAAAAAAAATTTGCGTGATTAAATTGTGTAACTTATTGGTAAGACTCGAATTTCATAAGTTTTTCTGATTTATGATACATAAATAAAATTTACTTCATTAATCAGAGCATGATTTATAATTCATAACAATCGTATAATATTTAACTGTTATTTGGGATCGACCATAATAAAAACACATTATGCTGTAGTAAATAGCTTTTATATTGTATAAAATTTAAATTTAGCAAACTCTCAGTCAATCACATAATGTCTTCAATACGTAGACGAACTCTGCAGCCTTAAAATGCGCAAAATATTATAGATGCAGCACTCAGACTTGGCGTGGACACCACTACGCGAAAAAAAGTTCTAAACAAATTGTATAACATAGTTTAACAACAGCAAAAAAAGTTGTAACCATAATGGCTATTGTCACCGATGTTAATTAAGAAGAATAAAAAATAAATTGTAGTTCTATTCTTATGAGTATAAAAATAATGAAAAWAATATTATAATTATGGAATTACATATCTTTATACTTCCCACTTTATAACAACCAAGTTTGCTTAGGTATATTTATTTCAAAGTTTCATTGTTAAAATATATATAAACTATATGTGTAGTGTAGAGTTTATTTGAATAACGATTTTATTATATGAACTAAATATTTTACTTTGTGCGAATTGTTTTGTAAATAGCTTTTATGTTTTTTATTTACTAAAGTTAAAATGTTTCAACGTATATAAATGCTAAATAAAAATTTAAAATTAATAATAACATTCAGTACCTACAGTATGAGTGGCTTCATGGTTTTGTAGAATAAAATTATTTGTTTTTAATCCTTCTACATATGCTTTTATTCCCTTTAAATTAACTGTAAAATTTAATAAAAGTTAATTAAACCATTATTTTACCATCAAAAATTAAATAATACTCGTACAAACCTTTTTTCCAGTCAGCCGCAGCCAGTGATCGATCTCCAGTTACCAGTACAGGAATTCGTGGCGATTAAGATGCCGAGTACCAAAGAAAAAGAACACACTTTCAAAGAAAAAGTAGTTGGAAGTGTGAGCGCTTTGACTAAAAATGAATCGACCGAATCTATTTCATTCAAGAAGTCCAAGTTCAAAAAATCGAATTGTAGAAAACGTTTGGACGATGACTGAAGGATGGCTCGATTAACATTTTAAAATCGACCAACTCATCGTAAAGGTTTCCTGATTTTCTCGGTGGACTTGCATTTATTATTTACAATATTAGTGTTTAAGACCATTACATTTTTTTCAATTGTATAATCTGAGTATTATATTTTTTCCTGCAGATCATGATATGTGCGTTTATATACTTATATGTATGCGTCAGAATGGTTTTTCGAATATGGTGTTGGTTTGGCAAAGCCGAAAATTATTAACTTCGAGACTCTTTATGATTTCGTATATAATATTATCAAATATGACAATAACATTATTATTATGATCGTCACGACTATGTTGATACGTATAATGGGAAACATGTTCTGAATGAGATGTATGAAATTTTCGAGGCRGCGGCGTACCAATAGTGGCGTGTACAATCAAAAGCTGCGTACACTACACCGTTATTTTGCATTCGCTACTMTACATAATATAATATTTTTCATTTAAATTAAACCGGGCTTTCGCGTTCAATTCTACGCTGCGATGTTCACCAAATTCCAGGATTTTCAAATTTTTAACGTAACGTTACGGTCCGTCAGTATGTGTACGAAATTAATGTATCCCTTGGGTAACAAACGAGCGTGATTCGTTTTACCGTGTGTTGCATTGGAATTATTTACAGCTTTGGAAAGAAAATATAAAAACACAGTTAACAAGCTTTAATGGAATATATGATATTTATTCATTCTATACGACTTACGTTACGTTATTGTTTCAAGATACCAATTTCTTAAATAAAATAAGTTTTACGGTTCGTATATTATATGTTGTTTTGCACTTTTCAWCATTTTTCTATTTGCATATCGATAATGTTGATATTATTAATAACCAAAAATTACTAAATTGGGGAAAAATTACGAATTATGTGATTTCCAGAAAATTTAGAATCTAGAAAAATTTGTCAATACGTAAAAATTATATTTAATGGTTTAAACATTGAAGAATACAAAAACACGCTAAAMAAATAAACAACATTACGTTTTTCTACATTCTAATTCTCTGGTATATGTATACATAATATTATTTCTATATTTTAATTTTATTATCTATTTAGTCATTAGTCATTATACTTTTAGTTGGAGTCTATGTATTTGTAACGGTGTATTGCATTATTGATTTAAACAATGCTATACCTTTTATAGCTAAATTGTTTGCTTCAGTAGCATTACTCCTAAAAATAATGGCATTATTGATTTAAACAATTTTGAATTTATTCATTACTCTTTACAATTTAGATAATAGCTAATGTTTTGTTTATTATTGATGGCGTCATCAAATTGATAAATACTTCTTCCGTTACTTTATTTAGTGGATAAATACTACAAAGGTTTAGTTGTGTGTAATTGATGTGATATGAACCTCATAATATTATACACCTCCAAAGGTACTGAAATTCGAATTTTTGTCTTTAATAATTTTGTTATAATATTAATTCATCCTTTCCTACACATCCAGGGACCAATTATTCAAATTCGTAAAACCATACCACGCTACTCAATATTTTTTCTTTATAAGGAAAATGTATTAATCATAAATATGTTTTTGCTAATAAGTAACCATGACTACGAAAACCTTACGAAAAGTCTGTCAGAAAAATTKTATATCTATATAGTGCATTCTGCATAAAAACATTTTTTTGTTAATAATAAAAAAAAAAATATTATAAAATATAAGGAACTATATCAGTTGAAAACTTATTATTATGAAAATTCTCTTTTCCGACGCATGTATATGTATAATATTGATATATTACACATTTGCATGTGCAACGTCTTATTATAATTTTCATGTGTTTTTAGCCTGTTATTAAATAGTAGTTTTATAAGCTAACATTTGTAAATAAACAGTATTTATATACAAATAGATGCTGAATAGATTGAATAGATACCTACATTTATTTTAAAAATATTTCTATGTTATAACCAATTAATAAACTAAATATTAAATTTACAAAATATTATTATTATACTTCTAAAATGTTTGAAACGTTATTAAATAATAATTTACTTTGAACTATGAAGTAATTGCAATTGAAAGTAATGTTACAAATCCAATTTGTCGAAAGTATGCCATTATGACCTGTCATAAATGTCACAATATTTGAAAACCATAATTAAATTCTTCAACACATCAAAGCCGTATTGAATCCTTACATACATATATAAAAAATCTGTAGATTTTTATGATATATAGATTTACTTTTCAGCAATTCTGTATTTCTGTATACAATTTTCGTAACTGTAGTTGAAGCAAATATATATTTTAGACACAGAGAAGGTAAGTAAAATAAAATACAATACGTAAAGTGTACATTTTAACGAAATTAAACCAGTAAACATTTTATAATGGTCAAATATTGTATATGGCTACAGTTAGTCAGGAATTTTGTAAATCCGATTTAGCTTCATCACACTTTCAACCATCTGATAACACATTTACACAATGCAAACATTATTTACGTCACATCCACCTTTATCCTAGTTGTTTAGGATACTTTCTAAAACACTCAGAGGTATATTGGACTTCAAGAACGGAGTTTCTAAAGTTTAGAAAGTTCAGAGTTTGACACAATATAATTTCCTTTTGATGCTTATTACGTTAAGGTAGATAATATGAAGTTTGTAGTATAACGTTGGTTAGTGTTGATGAATCAATGGTTTAATTAAGTTCTAATAATTTGACCAGATTACGAACTTCCTCATCCTTTTATATTCTTAGAAAATCGATTGATTTTAATTCAACATTGTTTTTTTTTT